GTCGCAGGGTCGTATGGCATCCTCCCAATTTGCTAATTTCGATCATTCCTTCTCTTTCTTTACCAACACCCTTTATCACTCTTTTTTTTCTTTCTTCTCTCTTTTTTTTGAACCAAAAATGATTTGATCGAACCCCCTGTAGGTTGCCTACGTATCATGTCCCTCATGAATCAAATCAAGCGTAGTTCTGGAAGAGTGATAGAAAATAAACTAAAAATAAAATCTTTTTGGGATTTTTCATTTAAAATTTTCGATATTAAAATACAATGGGAAGTATGATAATGAAAGACATGATAGACTTGACTACACTATGACAAACTCTGACACTACCTAAAGGACTCGATAATCCTAGACAAGACATGAAAGTAAAAGACAACATGAAACTATCTCAAAACATCTAAATAGAATGACTCCTCAAGATGCTCCTGAATGCGACGGCCCTGGCTGGGACGGGTCTGATGAAGGTCTGAATGGACTTGTCAATCCTGCCGAAGCTAAGCTTTGTATTATGCCCCACAAGGACACCTCGAAGCTGAGAATGAGAATCCTAGAATGCGTGCCTGCATCTGGAAGGCTGACTCTAGTAAGGTACTCACGGTGCTGACCTATGTTTTCTACCAACCCTGCCAACTATGATCTCAATGACTTAAGTGTAGCTCGAACCCCAACCCTTTTTGCTGCATGGGCCTCCTCTTCCTGGGTAAATCGATCCATCAACTATCTAAGTAATATCCGTGAGGTGGCCTCCTCGTCAAATACTCCTCTAACACGTCGAGGCAATGGCTTGCTAACCCCCCGGTGAGTAGATTGTAGCCATATGAAGTACTCATGGGTATACCCAGGTGAATGCGGGTCAACTGCTAAAGTATCTCTACCCATCTTCATTGCATGACGCCAATAGGTCTGGATGTCGACCTCCCTGTGAGGCATAATGTCAAATTCCCTAGTGAAGTCACGAGAATCAGGAATGTAGGGGACTTCTTGTCGCCTCCCTAACAGACACATCACTCTAGCAGGGGTGTATGATCTAGTACACCAAAGTCCAATCAGTACCAAGAAGTCTTGCACGCGAGATCCTGCTAAGATCACGTCCAAATAAATCCATAGGTATGACCACAAAATCTTCTCTTCAGTCAAGGATCCTAAATAATCAACCTAAGCCTGAACTCCGAGTGGTAAGAAAAACTTATCGAATGTCATATTATGCTCGATGCACTTCACTCGATCTCTCAAACAACAGTCAATCACATCTTTCTCAAACATGGTGGCAGGATGTAAGTGTTCCATCATCCACAGTTGTAGCAACAAGTTGCTTCCCTCAAAGAACCTCCCACCTTCTCGAATCCTGGTCAAAGCACGATAGATCTTTGCCAAAATTGTCGGAACCAAGGTGACTTTACTACTGTGTTTATCATGGAAAAGTGCAAAGGTTATTGACCCCAGACACGTGCTAATATGTCTACCCTCCAAAGGAAATACCATGAGACCCAACAATGCAATAGCAAAGACCATAGGATGCCTCTTCTTCCAAGAATCATATGATATGGAAAATTCATCTGTGAAAGTCTCATACCCAGTAGGACGAGCAAATCTCTCGAATAAAAAGTCCAAAGGTACCCAAGATTGATCTAAATATCCCATGTGATTTTCTAAATCCATCCCTATGATCTAAAGAAACTTGGTGCTTGAATGAGCCCTTGTGTAAATCAAATCCTTGTCTAGGCATGGCAGGCGAGTTAACCCGGCTATCTTAGCTAAGGTGGGTGTCATCTCAAGATCCCCAAACTTGAATACCATTCCCTGTGGGTCCCAAAATGTCAACATTGCTTCTGCAAGGTCGGGACAGGGGATGTTGTCCATCAAAGAAATAAGAGTCCCTAATTTACCCATCAGATCACACTGCTCAAGTAATGTGAACATGTTCCACCATTTTACTAGCCTTCTAGGGACTTTGACCACTATTGATACTCTAGCATTGGTAAGTGGATCCATACCTGAATGGGGAAAAGATGGTTAATGACTCAAGACATTATGTGACACCACAACATTTCCTAGGGGACGTTTGGGCTATTTTTGCAAAATGGCCCAAGGGGCCGAAAGTGGCTAAAAGTTCCAACTCAAGAAAGGTGACCTCAAAGGCATGAGAATACCTTACAAAAGCTTATATGGATTCAAACTCCCAATAATCATGGCCCAAAATTAATCTGCAGAAATGACCCGTTTTGCAAAACGCCCGATATGGCCAGAAGTGGCTAAAGATGCAAACTTGAAAAGGACGGACCTTAAAATAATATGACACCTAGTTGTGGACTCAAGATCCTAAGACATGAGCTATTGAACCACTTTTGCGAAAATGACCCCATTATGCAAAAATGACCGATGTGGCCGAAAGTGGCTAGAAATGCAAGATTTGGCTAAGACCCCGCAAAACCAAGAACTTAAGATACTAGGAAGACCGGAATCTATGTGGGTTTCCTACGTATCACGTCTCGGAAGATGAGACATGGGAGAAAGCCTTTAAAAATGCAACTAATTTGGAAAACCCCTTTTTTTTGTCTTTTTGAGAAATGATGGAACATGTAAAATCTTTTTGGATTTTCTTTTTCTCCCTTTTTTGAATTTTTTGGAAAATGATAAAAGATGTAAAATCTTTTTCATTTTTTTTGAATATTTGAAAAATTATGAAAGAAAAATGCGAGTGGGTCCTAATTGCTTCATTTTATACTTCACCCTCAAATATTGTTGGTCCGCCAAATGACCCTTTTACCCCTAAAGAAATGCAGCATGTAGCACATAAGGATGATTAAATGTCTTTTTGGGCCATAAGCCCATTTTGACATAATTTGGATAGGCCTCCTACAACGGGACACGGTGCCTGGGACCGAACCCTGCTAGGTTTAAATGATATGATGCAAATAAGCATTACCTAAATGCTAACCTACGGTTTGGGTTCACTAGACAAGGCGATTCGGGGCGGCACGTGGTCGATGGCGGCTGCTCTAACTGTCCGCCCACTCCACGCTCCGACGCCACCCCCCTAAAGACACGAGTGACTCACAAAAAGGCCGTGTACGCTCATACGTACTCCAAAAAACTTGTTGCATAAAGAAGACCCGAGGTTATGCAAATGATGACAGTTATAAAGCAATAAACACATAAAAATGAAAACGGTAAACAAATAAGCAACTAGCAAATAATAAGACGACATAAACAAAATAAAAATCAAATAAAGAAAACAAAATACATAAAAACCTCAACCGAATATGCTAAAAAGCCAACAAGATCAAATACTAGCTCGAACCTGCAAGCCCCCAGCCGAGTCGCCAGTGATATCACACCCCTTTTTCAAACAAACCTCACTTAACACTCTTAAAATAAATAAAATATTTAGTAATACTTGAAAAGGGTTTTCAATTTGAAAAGTGACAAAATTGTGTTCAAAGGAAATAACTTAGAGTCGCCACCTGACATTTGATTTCGGTGTGCCAGGTCACCGTTTTTCTTAAAATGATTTTTCCTTTTAAAAAATTTTAGACTCTAAAAGCAAGTCCGCACCAGAGATTAAGAAAGAGGGTTCATTTGACTCGGGGAGAAGGTGTTAAGCATTCCCTGAGTTCCGTAATTAGTACGGTTACGCACTCAATCAAGTTGGCTTTTAAGACATTCAAATTGAGGTAATAACACCCAAAAAGAAAATAAACAATCAAAAGAGGCTCGAGGTCGTCCCCACCTAATAAAATAAAAATAGAATACTACGAGTTCTAATATCGATCTCCAAGTACAAATACTTCGGGGCATACCCCGGAATAAAATATATACAAATCCTTCGGGGGATTCCCTGGATAATTTGATTAAGGGGGGACCTCTAGCCTCAGAAAGAAGCTATAACACGAACATCCTAAAGGTTTGCCTACCCAAATGTGATTGGCCTAAGCATGCTCCTAGCGGACAGTATAATAAAGGTAAAATAAATAAAACTAAAAGAAAAATAAAATTTAATTTCATGCTCATCTCTTTTAATTCTTTACCTTTTATATATTTAGTCCGAGCCTAATCCTAAAGTATGCATGTGAAATAAATACTAATAGGCTTGGTCTTTCCTTGACACTCCCATGGCAAATCAATCATTCAAGCAGATATTGACCAATCAAAAGAAATAAGCATCCAAAAAAAATATATAAGCTAGGAAAGACACGCATAACAGTTAAAAGAAATAAATGGTGGATCCAAATATGATAAGAGCCCCCTAAAATCCCCCTTTAACCATGTCAATTTCCAAGAACAAGCAACTAGCAGAACCTTAAACTATGGCTCATGTGAAAATATGCTTAATCTCTAATGATGCTACCAAAATCTAAAGAACCAGTAATCCAATCAAAGCCAACAATTAATCTGATAATGACTCAAATCAAAATAAATGCAATTTGATGTCAACGACAGTTCAACAAACAACAGGGGTGCGAACTCACTTAATAGCAAACTAACATAAGAAAACAACCATTTATAGCTCACGAAGAGGTGAACATGAAATCAACTTAATTGATCAAATTTGGCCTAACCTTAGTATATGAAGATAACAAAGACCAACTAACATTTTGTTCTGTTTAAACATTCTGGAAAATAATATGCTCTCAACAGTCTCTTACCAAATTTGACAATTGACATACTTAATCTCAACTGACATGGCATATATACTTGAGGATATTTCAAGATGTTCAAAACCTCTCCATTTTTATTACATTAAAGAAATTAAATTTCATTTAGCAATTCAAGTTTCACGTTACGATTTTATCTATATTAAAACTAATCTAAAATTCTAGCACTATCAGGGAGTTTAAACTTTCATTACTCGACGATGTTAAATTTCTCGAGTTAATATTGAGACACAAGAAAAACTGAAAGTGTTGCACTGGGCTGCCAAGCACACTTAATTAGCAAAAGTGGTAGTTTAATTGGAGAAGCCCATCACATCTAACTTGAAATACTCCAACAGATTCTAATTAGAATAACTCAAAAAAAATACTAAAGAATTCACACATATTTCGGTGTAAAAGAATGATTCCTCAAAATCAGTTTCACAAATCTTGGTCAAACTACTTTCTCTTAATACTCAATTAGGAACTAAACAAATTACGCATTCCCGAATCCCTTCTAGTTGAGGCTCAAATCATATTCAGACCCAACCAAAAATCAGTGAGATAAGAGAAGAGAGATGGACCTTAAATTGCTTTCTAGTTGATGAAATTTCAGCAGCTATAATAACTAAATTGAACAAAGTTGTACAATGAATGAGTCCATGACAGAATATTCAATTGGAACTCCCAAACAGAGGCAGCGAAACGCGACCGGATACCCGAACTGCGTTCAACAAACCGCGACGAACTCGAAACCAAACCTCGGATCTTCAAGCGAAACCCATGTTTTTTAAAAAAACTCAAAAATCGGAATTCCAAGATGAAGAAGACAGAAAGTAACTCTTTTATAGATTTTTTTTCCTGAAATTTATACAAAGCAAAGTCGAAAATTAGCCCAAGAACCCTAGAATCTTTTTTCCGATCTCTCTCTCTGAATCCAAAAAAAAAACAAAACAAGACTGACCTCAAAAGCCTCAATATATAGGCCAGCTTCGAAAACCCTAGACTTTCTCCCCAAGAAATATGAAAAACCTCGACGAATTTCCAAGAATCCTCAAAATAAAAATCGGAAAATCTCTTCTATTGGTGACACAAGAGAAATGGAGGGAGTAGATCGAGTGCAACTCAATCGTACGCACCCCTTTTTCCTATTTTCACCTAAAAGAGGTAAATCCAAAGATGAAAAATAGGAAGAAAACACGTAAAATCAAATCCTAATGATGAGGAGGGACCATGAGGGGAACATTGCTTACGTGGAAGGAATTTTCCGGTGGGTTTGGAGGTGTTGTAGCGGTGGCAGAGGGGTGGTGCGGCTGGGTAAAATTTTGTAGGGTTAGGGTTGTGTAAAATGTTATAAGGGTGTTTTTATATGGCTTAAATAATTAATTATAGCCATTGGATGTGAAGTAGATGAAGGGCTAGGATTAAACTAACAAGGGAGATGGGTCGGATCGGTTATGGGGCTGGTCACGGGTTAATTGGACGGGTCAGGGGAATTGGGATTGGGCTACCCAGATTTTAGGTCTTTATTTGGTCTTCTTTAAGATACGACTAGCCCTAAAATCCATCAATTTAATAAGCTTAAACCTTTTCTTTATAAAAATAATTTAAAATTAATTCTAACTAATTAAAATAAACTATATCATACTATGACACTATATATATATCATTTTTATATAAATTATTATATTCAAAAATAAAAGTGAAAATCATGGCAAAAACAAAAGTATATTGCTATAAAAATATTAATAACCTAAACTAAATAGAAATAAGATAAAATATGAAACTACTTTTGTATTTTTTTTCAATGATTATATTAAAATAAAAGTAGGTTAAAAAATAATATATCTTTCAAAATACCTAATATTGAATTAGATAGAAAAGCGAAACTACTTTTTTTTTGTTTGTATTTTTCCCTTTTTTGTGCCTAGAAATAGAATTAAATTTAAAAATAGAGTGAACTAATATAGGAACAAGCTCAAGTAATATTCAAAAAATACTAGGACTATTAAGGGTAATTATAATGCGCGGGTCAAAAATTACATGTCTATAGCAATAAGATGTTCGAACATATAAAAGAGACATGTAAGTAAAGGATAAACCATAAGGCACATTGGGGGTATAAAGTTAAATCAAGCTTGTAGAGAAAGTGATCTGCGGTCCGCACAATTTAGCATATGGTCGTAGATGGGGACTCGCGGACCGCACATGTTTGTTGTGTGGCTGTAGAAGTGAAGTGCGGTTCGCACAATTTGACTTGGGGCTGCACCTCCGAATCCTAAAAATGCTAACTCGATAGAGATTGACCAATCTACAGCCGCAAGCGGATTTTAGCGATTTGCACAATTTGACGTGCTGCCACACATTGATGTGTCAAAGTGAGTACTCTCTGATGACAGAAGATTTGCGGATCTGCGGCCGCAAAGGGAATTCTGCGGTCCTCACATTTTAATTTGCGGCCACATATTTCTTCTTCACTGAGTTGCCCAAATTCAACATCTACAGACCGCACAAATTCAAGTGCGGCCGTAAATTTCAAAAGTTACATACAAACCAAATTTTTCTACTTAGGTTATTCAATTTCTCACACAATTAGACATGGAAACATTGTAAAAATATGAAATTGTACTGACCCAACCCTATTAGAGCATGTATCAAGTTTACCAATTCAGATCTACCCCACATGGACACACAATTGAACTGTAATAACAAATGGCCTAAGAACTAAAAGTCTAGAAATTATACTAATACAAAACATTAATCATGAAATTGAAACATATCAGATAGAGTGAGTGAAATGAGTGAATGATCAAGGTGGTGGTGTGTGAGGATAGTGAGAAATCTCCAAGAAAATTCAACAGAGCACAATGTTTTTGTTCAAAAAGGGAAAAGTGTAAAATGAGCCTTGTTCCTCTATTTATACCAACTATTTGATAAGGGGAAGAAGAACGAGTGCGGCCACACATTTTCATGTTTGGTCCGCACTCTATCACCTGGGGCCTCATCTCAGAACTTCATTTGTGGTCCGCATATTTTTAGGTGCGGCTGCAAATTTCACGTGCAGTCGCAGATCGACCAATGCACTGACAAGCTTAAACTTTAGAGAGTTGGTATTTTTGACATCTCAATTGTGTGATCTGCAAGAGAAATGTGCGGCCACAATGCTCTTCTACCATGGCACTAACAAATGTGCCATCCGCACAAATTAATTGCGGTCCGTAGTCCTTGGAACACTTAGCCACATTTCTCACACTATTCTTGTAAGTCATGCTCATCTCTGCAGCATACTTCAATTTAAGTTAGTACACAAAAAACACCTAACTACAAAAAGAAAAAGGAAAAGAAAATGGGTTGCCTCCCAAGAAGCGCTTGATTTATATCGTGGTACGACACAAAATACCCTCAAGTGAAATGAACGACTGCCACGACATGGCTTTCTCCAACCTTTCTCAAGTAGTGCTTCACCCAGTGCCATTGACTCAGAATACTTCATTGTTTTTGTTCTTTAAGTCTAATGAATCAAAAAGTGTCACACCCACAATTTCAAAGGGACCACTCCATTTAGACTTTAGCTTCCCGGGAAACATCCTCAACCTTAAGTTAAATAACAATATAAAATCACCCACCTTGAACTCTTTGTTCCAAATGTATTTGTCATGAAGATATTTCATATTTTCTTTGTACAAGGACGAAATTGCATAAGCATGGTACCGGAACTCATACAATTCATTCAAGTGTGCAACCCTCAAGTTAGCGGTTACATCCCAATCAAGATTCAACTTCTTTAGGGCCCACATGGACTTGTGCTCTAGTTCCACCGGAAGATGACAAGCTTTTCTGAACACCAATTGGTATGGTGAAATGACATTTCTCCCAATTGAGCACCAAATTTGTTTCTTCACATCTATCCAACACTTTGTCCAATCATCAAAAGAATCTCCAATCACCGAGAAGTCATCCATGAAAACTTTAAGGTATTCCTCCTCTATGTCCGTGAAAATAGCCATCATACACCTTTAAAAAGCCATTGATGCTTTGCACAAACCAAACGTGAAAGTACCATAGGGACATGTAAAGGTCGTTTTATCTTGATCTTCTGGAGCAATGAGAATTTGGTTGTAGCCCGAGTACCCACCAAGAAAGCAATAGATAGCACGGCCCGCCAATCTATCGAGCATTTGATCTAAGAAAGGAAGTGGAAAGTGATCCTTCCTTATGACTTTGTTGAGCTTTCGATAGTCCATACACACCCTCTAACCGATAACTATCCTTGTAGGAATCAATTCATTCTTGTCATTGATGACCACCGTCATGCCTCCTTTCTGTGGGACACATTGAACCAGAGAAGTCCTTGAACTATAGGAGATGGGGTATACAACCCCGGCATCCAACCACTTGATAATCTTTTTTTTGACAACTTCTTACATAGCCTCATTGAGCCTCCTTTGATGTTCAATAGATGGTTTGGCGCCATCCTCCAATTTGATCTTATGCATGCAAAAGGCGGGGTATATCCCCCGAATATCCTCCAAGGTCCACCGAATAGCCTTCTTCCTAATTTGTAGCACCGCCAATGTGGAATTTACTTGCAAATTAGTCAAACAAGAGGAAAGAATAACTGGTATAGTAGAATAAGGACCAAGAAATTCATACCGAAGATGTGGAAGCGATGGCTTCAACTCCAAGGTAGGAGGCTCTTTAATAAAAGGCTTTGTAGGAGGAATTGTCCTTTTTTCAAGATCCAAGGACAATTTCTGGGGTGCAAAATTGTATGACCCCATTCCTTGCAAAGAGTTCACATATTTCATGAACCCATCCATCTCGTCATCATCAAAGTTGAGCAAGACGACCTCCAATATATCACAAACATTAACTGTGACATTTGTATCATCAATAATAACATCGGTCACCAAGTCCACAAAAGAGTACAACTCATTGCTATTTAGTTGCCGTATGGACTTACATACATGGAATACCACTTTTTCATCACCAACCCGGAAGGTAAGTTCTCCGGCTTGAATATCACAAATAGCGTTCGCCGTAGCAAGGAAAGGTCTCCCAAGAATAATCGACACTTCTTAATCAACCTGACAATCTAGAATGATAAAATCCGCCTGGAGAATGAATTTGTCAACACGAACCAAGACATCTTTAATCACTCCCAAGGGCCTCTTCATAGTACGATCGACCATTTGCAATCTCATAGAGGTGGGTCTTGGTTGCCCAATTCCCAAAGTCTTGAAAATCGAATAGGGCATCAAATTGATACTTGCCCCAAGATCACAAGGAGCTTTAGTAAACTCGACACTTCCAATTGTACAAGGAATCATGAAAGCACCGGGATCCTCAAACTTAGGATCCATTGAAGGCACAATTGCACTCACTTGGTGAGTGACTTTGATTATTTCACAATTCATTGACCACTTCTTTGTCACAAGATCCTTCATAAACTTTGCATAACCGGGCATTTGTCCCAAAGCTTCAACTAACAACACGTTGATTAAGAGATTCTTCATCATTTGAATGAACTTCTTGAATTGGTTCTCACCATTTTGCTTGGCAAGTCTTTGAAGGTATAGAGGTGGAGGCTTAGATAATGGTGCTTTAGCCTTTTGCACTACCAGCTCCGGTATGTCAATAATGTGTTCCCTGAATGGGTTCACTTCCTCTTGAGTCTCTTACACACTATCATCAATATCAGTCCGACCTTCATCATTACATTGCACCACATTGTTCGGGATCTCTTCTTCTTGCATCACTTGATCATCATCAATAAGTTGCCTATGACTTGAGGTGGGTGCATTCCTACCTCTTCCACTTTTTGTGGTAACAACCATTGCATGTCCTGTGTTGTTTCCACCCTTTGAGTTTACTACCGTATTACTTGGTAGTACCCCCTTAGGACGAGAATTTAGAGCTTGAGAGATTTGCCCTATTTGAACTTCTAGGTTGCGAATTGATGGGTTGTGTGAGGCAAGTTGGGTATCCGAATCAACATTCTTTTCTGTCTTTTGCTTGAACATATTTTCAATACGCCCCATCTCATTGTTTGAAGAACTTGAACCATGGGAAGGATAAGGAGGTGGGTTGCTTGATTGTTGATACATTGGAGGCATTTGAAAACCCGACAATTTTCGGGGTGCAAAATTGTACGACCCCATTCCTTGCAAAGAGTTCACATATTTCATGAACCCATCCATCTCGTCATCATCAATGTTGAGCAAGACGACCTCCAATATATCACCAACATTAACTGTAGCACTTGTATCATCAATAATAACATCGGTCACCAAGTCCACAAAAGAGTACACCTCATTGCTATTTAGTTGACGTATGGAC